AAGAGAGAAGAACCTAACTTTTATCGGATAGCGCCGCTCCTAACGCTCGGCAGCGCTGGCCCTAGTGGCTGCCCCGCGCGCGGTAAGGAGAGGAAAGGAGGCGTATACCACGAGAATCGGCCGAAAAGATGAAATAATTCCGAGTCCTGACCTAGATTAATGCCACACTGAGAAAAATGGTTTTATTATATTAACAAAATGCTTCTGATTGACCGTATTTAGTCAAACAAAACAGAATTTCTGGTTATCGTCACAAAATTTTACATCTTTTATCAATACCGTTTGGTTAACTTTACTATAAGGATCTGAATAAATGTTTTCTTGTTGGATCTACAAAACTTCTTGTTATATTTACATAAATCGCAGCGCTCTGCAACAGTTTTGTCATCACTAAACGGTTGATCAACTGTTCGCCGCATTTATTTGTTACACTGCTACTACGCCCTCGCCACTCGCGGCGCGAATCGCGCGCATTAGATCTTTCGCGAAGTAATGGCGCTGAGCAGTCGGAACAGTCTCAACTGAGCTCGCTAAAATTTTACGTCGCGTCGTGGATCCATTACGGAATATTAGTTAGGCTGATGGCAGAGAACGAGAAGTAAGCACTTATGTCTGTCGTAGACGTCTGTCGTGGACGTATGATAAGGCAGAGAAAAATGTAAGTTGTGAAAGGTTATTGTGTGGATACATGTGGATACGACTACGACATACATACATAAGTGCTTACGTCTCGGTCTCTGCCCAGTGTTCCGATTAGGGACCGGTTGTATGCGCATGTGCGGCAATACGACGTCAGTACAGTGTCTCATACAAGTTAAACAAAGCACCGTTACTCTCCTACATTTAAAATATTTCAAAATTTTTTGAAATTGATTGAAATTTTCTACTTCTTGGTTTTTAGCTGCTGGCTCCGTAGATTCCATGCTTGTAAATAAATAAATCTTACCTTATTTGTAGTCACCTAAATTTCTCATGTCAAAACGTCCCGCCATACGGTCAACACACAACGGCTGCGTTCCGAAATTCACTGCCAGTACTGAAAATCTACAATATACGTAACGTAAACTGCAGATTTTTAGTACTGGCAGTGAATTTTGGAATGCAGCCAACATATAACGGCACTGGATCTCCATTACCGCACATGCGCAGAACTGCACATGCGCATACAACCGGTCCCTAATCGGAACACTGTCTCTGCCATCAGCCTTACATCCGAAAAGTTTTATGATCACATGGTGTTTTTTTTTTTTAATGAAATATATGTATACCAGTGATGTGATGTTTCCTATCGGGCTCGGGAGCCGGGAGCCCGGTAGGAAACATCACATCACTGAGTATACTTTAAACCAAAATATATTGTTAGTATTTTACAAAAACCACACCTATCCGAACTTGTTTTTTAACTACAACGTAGTGTTAACCTAACAAAACGATATAGTAAAGTTAACAAGAAATTCTGGTAGAGTTTTGTAAATCTAACAACACGATGTAGTAAGGTTTACGAGAAATTCTGATAGATTTAAATAGGATGAAATTTAACAGAATCTTCTGGTAATTCCAACAACAAATTTGTTTCGTAAAATTGTTGAACAAACGTACTAGTAGAATCAATCAGAATTTCTTATAATACAACAAAACTTTTTTTCCAGTGCACTTTTACCAAAATCTACAAAAACGTTTATAGGAACGTCATTCGCAAAATACAATATCGAACAATCCAGGAGAAAATCCGAGTAAAATAAGGGCCCTAGGCGGGATTCCAGTATAATTTCTAAGAAAAACCGTGGAAACAAAGCCTGGGCCTGGGTACATTTTAAATAATAGATCCGTCCATGCCCGCCGTCCCCCATTACATATGGGTTCAAGCTAGATTTCCCAGATAGATCCAAGCTATACTCAGGGAAGGGCCAGACTTTTTCCTAGACCAGATTTTTACCTGGGCAGGTAAGTTTATATATATTTAATCAAATTACTTTTTTAATAAGATTAATCTGTATATTTTTAAAAGATTTGTGCACATTTTTTTAATACATTATATCATCTATTGTAACAAGTTGTAAAAATTGTAAGATATCTTTCAATTCTTTCTTTGTTAAGATACTTGGGAACGAGCTCAAGAGAAATTAGCAGAGGCAATAGAAACATCAACTATTTTGGATTTTGAAGATTTTTCCGAGGAAGAATGGAGATTACAAATGAAGAAGCAAAGGAGAAAGAATGCTCGAAAATTGTACGATTCCACAGAATCTTCAGGTGAAGGCAAAGAAAGCAAAGAGTCTACAACGCATTATCGTCGTAAAATATGAAGAAACGATGATTGTCACTATGACCAGAAAAAAGAAGGAATATGCAATCAAAGTAAAAAGCTTTTACAATGGCCATCATTACACCATATGCCAATTTCATTTTCAACGCAATCATCTCTTCCAAATTTATCATACAAAGCTTCAATCTCAAAAACTGACAAAGCACTAGTAAGTGCAGCGAGTAAGTTTTTCTTTTTACTGTTAAAATTTGTAACATAATAATTTATTTATGAATTTCATAAATTTCTGTGACGAAAACTTTTTTTAGAATTTTTCATATAATTTTGTAGAATTTGTTAGAATTTCTGCACAAATTTTATAACATTTTTAAAAAATTTCGGAGAATTTTTCAGAATTTTTATATAAGCAGAAATTTCTATATTAATATTTTATTTGTAAAAAATTTCTTTGAATTTTTGAACAAATTCGAACATTTTTCAGAAATAATTTTAAAAAATCAGAATATTTTCTAAGAAAAGTATGATCAGAAAAGTACTGATCAGATTTTTTCAAATTAAAATTAGAATATTTCTCAGATTTTTTAACATTTTTAAGATTTTTTCAGTAAAATTTGAATATTTTTCAGATAATTATTGTATTCTGGATATTTATTATAGATAAATTTTAATGAATTGTAGGTGAAACTCTGCCTAATGTATTCGCTGCTTCTATTAGTATAAAATCACTGCCATCTCATCATTATTTCGAACATTTTTGACAGAAGAAAATTCTTCTTCTTCAAGAGAAAAAATGCCATCCGAGTACAATGCCCTTTGTGATCTATCTGAAAATGGTACAATTTGTTTTATAGTATTATTAAATCTATTTCTAAAAGAGATTAAAAGAGATTAAATATTACTTTTTTCCAAATTTTAAGAAATTTATAGTAAAAAGTATGCTAACATTATTATGAAAAACACAAAGTTTTGATAATAAGATAAGAAAAATTGAAGAAAATAAGCAAACGCAAGCAATAAATAAAGAAAATAACGAAGAAAATGTTATATTGCCTTTTCAGACTAATGAGCAATTATTGGAATTTGAAAGAAAATTAAAAAGTCTCATATTCTTCCAAAAAAAGGTAAGATACAAAATAAAAATTTCTTATTATTTATAATTAAAATAGGTGCTTTTTATTTAGTGACTCAAGTCGACATGTTTCCTGGCTTTGCATATACAGGGTGTCTGGCAATAGTCGCCCCACCGGTC